CATAGTACTATGTGTCCCCAGTTATGAATGAACAGGCTGTGATTTACATCACAGCCTGTTCATTCAAGATTTCCTCAATGGGGAGAAGCACTCACTACAAAAAACATTATTTAAAAACAAAATGTTATTATTTTTAAAAAGTGAAAACTACCCCCCTCCCCCCCGTTCCTCCCCCTCACACACACACATACAGGTGAAACTCGAATAATTAGAATATCGTGCAAAGTTCATTTATTTCACTAATGCAACTTAAAAGGTGAAACTAATATATGAGATAGACTCATTACATGCAAAGCAAGATAATTCAAGCCGTGATTTGTCATAATTGTGATGATTATGGCTTACAGCTCATGAAAACCCCAAGAACCCCAAATCCACAACCTCAAAAAAGTAGATTATTACATGCAATCAATAAAACAAGGATTGTACATAGAACAATATCGGACCTCTGAAAAGTACAAGCATGCATATGTACTCAGTACTTGGTTTGGGCCCATTTTGCAGCACTTACTGCAATTACTTTTGCACGATATTCGAATTATTCGAGTTTCACCTGTATTATTAGACATGTGCGAAGCCTAAAAATTAATTTCAGATGAAATGAGCGAAAACTAAAAACGTTTCATTCGTTTCATCAAACAAAACAAATTTTATGCGATTTTGGATTCAGCCATTGGCGTATTCTGGAGGCAGGGCGCATGACGTCATATAACACCGCACGTGTTGGCCGCCGTCATCTTGGTGTATATCTAGGTATACACCAAGATGGTGGGGCAAATATCGGCATGTGATGTCACCTGACGCCACGCATGCATGACGTCATGCTCCCGCCTCCAAGATGGTGGCAAGCATTCAGAAAACACGCCGGTGTCCAACATCGCCACCGCACATTCTCAAACCATTTATTATTATGTGCCGGAATACATTTTTTGTATATTCGGACATATAGTAATTCATTAATTTTACATGTAGTCTGTGTTTTGTGTTCTGTTTTCTATTTTTACTTTTCTAGATATACTGACTTGAAAAAAGGGGTCAGCATGACAACCTGACACTTTATTTTTATAGACTCTATTTTAGCTTGACATTTATTATTTGCCTTCTGTTGTTTTATTTGATAAGAATACTTCTATTGTGGCTACAAGTTTAATACCTTTAAATAAAAGTTTTATTTTTATCATACTTTTCAATGTTTCTTTGCGGCTTAACAAAATAGGACAAACAAAACAAACGACAAACGCACTCAACAATTTGTTACCAGTTATACAGTAAGGTGCACACGAAATGGGCTTTGGACAGTAAAACAGTAGAAAGGCATCATGGCACACTCACAAAACCAGCATGTAAAACAACATGTCTCACCACTAAGGATAATGACAGAGGTTTGGATACACGTCTTCAGCCGAGGATGTGTAAGCCGCACTGCCGCGCCAAGGCACCTCTTATAGTGCGGTCCTAACTCTAAACTATGAGAGTCTCCATCTTGGAGCACATGGGGGCAGAAGATATCAAATTGGGTGCAGGTTACTTCGTTTGCTGGTTTTGTGAGTGTGCCATGATGCCTTTCTACTGTTTTACTTAACAAAATAGGAGTCTTTAAATGGTGCGGATATTGGGGGAAATGGGTGTGGCCACTGAAGGGTGTGGTCACTGAGGGGCGCTTGTAAAGCTTTCCCGCACAGGGCGCCTAAAGGCCTAAGGCCGGCCCTTAACAGTGGTTACACGATAGCTCAACTCTTTGGGAAGACTATATTTTACTCTCCCAATACTCCTCCTTTACCACTGTTTATGAGAAGGGCACTGATATACATTTTGCAAAAATACAAACATTTTAAAAGATTAGCTGTAGATATTATACATAGATCTTACTTACTAGATCAGCAACAGGAGACTTTTTCCTGTTTTGTTTCTCTACCTCCACTTGCATCTTGGCCATTGGTTTTACCATAGCCAGAGCCATCTTTGCTTCTGCTTGCAGTTTCTTCTGCCTGGAGATAAAATCCATGTCTTCAAAAGATTCTGACTCCTCCTCAGTAGTGTCCCGGTCTGAGTATGAAGAACTCTGCTTGCTCTAAAGGGGAAAACAAGTAATGCTTTCTTCAGACACATGAAATCTGGGAAAGAAGAGAACATCCTCCATTTCACTGCCTACTGTATCTGGAAGCAGTCTCTTGGCATTTGCATTATACAGGGAACTGGACAGAATATTCTGCATCACATGGAAATCTGTGATTAAATGGACCGGGAGTAGCTGGTGATCTATGAGGGATAGGTAAGCTTTACAGTATAAGAAAGGCATTACAGTCAAGAGAAAATGGTAAGGAGGGCACACTACTACTAATGTGCGGGCTAATCAATATTTTAGTGCCTCCAAGAATAGGTGTTATTCTTAATTTAATGCCAATCCCAGTGGAGCCAAGTTAAAACCTCTCCTTCTCCTGCTGCGAAGTCCTAACAAGTGCTAGCCTGCCAACTCACTACTGGAAGCTCTGAGGTGGCTCTGATATAAGATGGGTGTTTGTGAAAAGGCTGTTAGGGAGTGCTGAGTGTATTGGGGTGAATAGTGGGCAGTTCTGTCCGAACACTGCTGTATGTGATATTCTCTATACTGCCCCATTCTGTATGTTGTGCAGTATGTTACATACACAACTCTGCTCTGAACACTATGCTCGAGTCTATATCATATACTCCATACTGCCATTCATTGTACTAATATCATATCAATAGACAGGTTTTTGTACTACTGGGACTTCTAAATTCCACACTGTTCAACAGATGGGCATGCTTATGCTAGTTTTATTTTATAGCTACACAGAAAAATTCAAGTTATATAGGTATAGGTAGAGACCTCTCTGTGAATAAGCCATTTGGTGAAACATGTTAGAGTTGGAGGAGCCTGTGTTTGTTTACAGCATGCTTTGACTACTGGAATAAACATTGTCCCGTTTGTGATACCAGTCGCTTGTGCAATTGTTTCTGCGCGAATAGGTAGAGACCTGTTTATAAATCACTTGTAATGGTTTCTCCCAAAATGTAGACAGATAATCTGATATCAGCTAATTTTACATATTTGTTTGACATATGTACGATGGACATGCCAGGAAGTCACCCTTATAACCCAAAACTGAAAGAAAAGTCAGTCACGCAATAGGTTGGACTTGATAGACTTATGTCTTTATTCAACCTCAAATACTATGTAACTATTTACCATCACTGAGATGATAATGCTGCTGCCTAAACTCCCGAGCCTGCTCTCACACTGTGTACTGAAAGGGCTCTTGGGAAATGAAGTTCTGGGGGACATGCCTCCATTAACAGTAACTTATCTAAGGTTCCCAGCACATTCCTCCTTCCAGCAGTTGGCCGTTAAGAATTTTACAAGACCGGTGATCACAGGGAGTTGTTTCACTAGAGGACCACTAAAAAAACAAATGATGTGACATGATCTAGAAGGAGATGGGTGGGGGTATTGTGGTAAAGGGGGTATTGTGGTAAATTTGGGTTGTGCCTTGCCTATATTAACCCTTTAAGAAAGGCTAGCATGGTTAGGGCCATTTGTTTGTGTGCTCCTCCAACCCTTTACCATCGCCGATATATTTCTACTAGGACTGGCTCTCTCTTGACTATCTATCATAAAATATATGATTAGGTATCATAGCTAGAAGGATGAAAATTGTACACCATGTTGCAATAATGATCAATTCAATAGTCTCTCCACTCCAGTGACTTTATTTTTTAGGAAGGCTCGCATATAGAAAAGGGAAGGAAATGCCTAACTGCTACAATGCCTTCGCCAAGTTACAAGCTGCAGTGTGGTGGTTCGGAGGATGGGCACATACTGGGTCTCACTACTCACTGTTCTCAGAAAGACATCTTCATATAAACATGCCTATGGCCAGTCTTGCATCTTAACAATACAATGAACTGTACTGCCCTTATACTTTTTGCTTACACTTTTGGCATGATCAGATGAATCATGGTAGTGACCAAAGCAGCAGACTAAGTAACTAGGTAAACAATGTGTTTTTTAAGATGCCCTTTTCTACCAATCCCTGAACGATCATCATACATATACAATGAAAAGATACTTGTCTGGAGATTATGGACTTCAACTCACCATTGGAGATAATGGAGTGTCCAGGCTTGTTTCAGTTTTGCTGTCATCAGCATCACTGTCCTTATCACTCCCACTATCATTTACAAAACAGATCTGCAAGTTCATCCCACTTTGGAGCCTGCAAAATGAAAAAGTGAACCATTAATTACATTGATTAATAACATTCAGAACAAATATTTCTTTCCAGGGCACATGGCAGTTGCAACTAATTTTAAGTGCATAATATGGCAGATAATACATGTGTAGTTCTAGGCCATATTTAATAAAATATTATAAGGAACAAAGTGCAGCACCCAGAGCAACCTATCACAATCCATCAGTTCACTCATTCTGAATAGCTGACATGGGTTACTAGACGTGCACTAACTTATCAAAAAAGCCTAATAGTTTATTAACCAGTTGACATCCGTGGTGTTAAACCCCCTTCCCATCCAGGCCATTTTTCAGTATTCAGCGCTGCGGTACTTTGACTGACATTTATTCCGTCATGCAGCGCTGTACTGAAATGAATTTTATACCCTTTTTTGGGGACAGATAGAGCTTTCTTTTGGTGGTATTTATTCACCACTGGGGTTTTTATTTTTTTACTATATTAAGGAAAAATTACTGAATTCAAAAAAAAAAGTTTCCCCTATATTAAATGATAAAACATTTATTATTACCCAATTACCCTATGGAGCCGCTGATCGCCCATATGTGAAACACCCGGTAACGGGTGTGTGCAATGGTCGGGTCTTTTCTGCCGGTGCGTGCCCGCTAGGGGGCGCGCGCGAGCAGAAAAAAAATGGCGTCTGGAGACGGCAACCCGCCAATGCTGCAGTGCCGTCCGTCCGTTTTTTTACAACGGGCGGACGGCAAGAGGTTAAACCTTATTTTTATTCAGCAATAAATTGTAAAAAGCCCCTGAAACTTGAGCCTGATCATTACCAGAAGTTGTCAGAATTGCTGGATCTGGACAGGGCAGGTAACTTCATAACAGGTAGGAGAACCCAAAGTTTACCAGCGGCTCCTGCAGGGGTGTGGGGGGAGGGAGGTGGTGGTGAATATCGCTATATATGTTTTATGCTGGTCTTTTATAAACTTTTCTGTATGTCTTGTTTCTATGAAAACCCAATAAAGCATTTGTAAAAGAAAAATGATCCTTTCAGTAAATCATGCTCCAAGGACTCTATTTATAACATACTGCAGATGCTGTTCTCCGAGGACATAGCAGTGAAAACTCCACACCATGCTTGAATTTTTTTTGTTTGATTCATAAAATGTAGAGCACAGGTCCTGCAGTGTCCTACAGAGTGTTCTCCGCATAACGCTGCAAGACCAATCTGGGATAGAAGGAGAAACCATCTCTGAGCCTGACTAAGGGGACCCTGTGTGGCACCGAAAGCGTTTGCCAATGAGAGACAGTATCTGTCAATAAATGAGCATCTAATTGCTGTTATTATCAATGTTTGAGTGCTGGTGACGTCCTCCTTTTTGTAGAAGGAGAAACCAGTCACATGACTTTGATAGTACCTGTATCCTCTCCCAATACTTTTTTTTCCTCTTAAAATTAATGGGGCCTCACTTGCATCAGAGTCCCGAAGCGAAAAAGATACCTTATCGCACTCCTTACAGGAAAAAATAAATAAACAAAATTGGATGGGGGGTGATTTGCTCGCAGATGGGGCTGCCAGTCAGTACAAAATGGATAGATGTCACCAGCACACCAACAATATTGTAGTCCATAAAGGCCATTTATTGGAACATCATGTCACCAATACTAGCGCTTTTGTGGCCACGCAGGATCCCCTTCATCAGGCTCAGCAATGACATTGCTCATCAGGTCATTGCTGAGCCTGATCAAGGGGATTCTGCGTGGCCCTGAAAACACTAGTGTTGGTGACATGACGTTCCAATAAATTACCTTTTTGGACTACAACATTGTTGGTGTGCTAGAGTCCCGAAGCAAGCACAGCGCAGAGCACATTTGTAAAGCAAAATTCTGTACTTTCTAAACATGCTAGAGTATCTATTTTTTTAAAGCACCAGTATTGCCTGTGATTTATAAATCAGCCACTTAGATTTAGAATATACTCAAAGCTAGTGTGATATTAGCAAATCTACACATCTGCTTCTAGAAGCTAGAAGCCTTCAGTGCAGGACCTTTCAAAGCTCGTTAACAAGTGCAGAAAATATAATTCTGTATATTTTTGGCAGCATGCTAATTTTAGGCTTTGATTTTTCACCTTCCACAAAATTTGTCATGTGACAGTTCACTGGCTTGTATGGTAGTTATACAACTAACAATATACACAACAAATTAATGAGAGGAAAAAAATGAATGCTCCCTAATTACATTTACCAAACTACACATTATACTTAGAAAATATTCCACATTTCCCTTTCTATAGTAAATAACCGTCTCTGGCTGTTAGCCAATACAATGTGGGCTTTTGTAACACGGACAGCTGCCAAGCTCATTTTTTGATTCTATTTGACATCTACGTGAGCAGCTGCACTGCGCTGTTGTAGTTAATATTAGAGGAATATATGAAAAATTCAAAAACACAATGTGGGACTTAATGTACCGGTGATGTATGCAAGATAAGCTTTGTACTCCGTTCATAAAAAATACCTTATCCTGAAACTGCAAATAAATGGCAGATTGCACCACTTCCAAACCCAAATCTAAAAGGGACTGCTGGCAGTGTGGGCAGCGAGTGAAATCAATCGGTGACCTGCTAATTCTATCCAGAAAATACAGCGACTGTATTAAAGTCAGCATGTCCATCAATTTGAATGACTAGGAGTTCTATGTAATCTATGGCAACCAGATTCCAGAGAGCTTCTCACATAGGGTTGATGGGTTTGCTTTCTGAAGCCTGTGCTCTGCAACATCCTTTGTTTCCTCTTAGCATTTCACAATCAGATTGAAACTTTCAAAGACGGTTATGTTTTCATTGGTGGCTGTGAGAAACATCTTCGTTCTGAAATTATTACATCAGGCTTTTTTTATGTTCAAGACAGCAAACAGCCTACAATAGTTAGGTGGGGGAATACCCTCCAGAATTACAAACAGTGAAGCAAAAGAGGTTCACAGATTACATACAAATGGCTTGGTGGTCTGCAGTTATAATTGGAGGAAATACTGAGAGTAGGATTTGCAACCTGTATGCTTTTCAAGCTTCTTGAGGGTTCCTTTCACATATCTAACAGCTTCAGAGTATAAGAATAACCGAGCATATTCTCCATTTGCAGTACATAGAAACAAAGGCATAACTCTCTATGATCAAGATAGGCATAAAGATGGTTTTCTCCTGGTGCACTTTCATAGTTAAGGTCTTAGGTCTCGTTCACACCTAGGCGTATTGCATATGCGCGTCTGTCGCGCGACCGTCGCGCGTTTTTTTTTACCGCGATTCGAGTTTCCGAAGGCTACTTAGCTGTATCCCAATGGAAACGCGCAACAAAACGGCCCAAAGTAGTACATGTACCTTTTCAGGCGTGGGCCGTTTTGTAGCGTGTTAGGGACGGGCGGAAATACGCCAAGGTGGGAACGAGACCATTTAATACAATGGGATTTAGATTTTTGAGCGTTTTTGTAGCGCGTTCTACGCTCGACGTGTGAACGAGTGCTTATAGGTATTCCACATTCTGGGGACTGGAAACAGGCAACATTTTATGAGGATACGTGATCATTAATATTTGGCAGCACAGTGGCTTACTGGTTATACTTCTGCCTTGCAGCACTGGGGGTCCCTGGTTCAAATCCTGGTCAGAACAATATCTACATGGAGTTTGCATGTTCTCCTTGAGCTTGCAAGGGCTTCTTCCAGGTAGGCTGGTTTCCTCCCACACTCCAAGGACATGGTTAACTGGCTGCTGTCCAAATAAGCCCTAGTATGTACAGTATGTATGCATGAACGTATGCATTTGACATAGGGACCTTAGACTGTAAGCTCCTTATGGGCAGAGACTGAATGTACAGCATTTAAAAGGACTATGTAAATTGTGGGCACTATATACATTTCTATAATAAGTATATGTTAAAAACTTATAATTGTTATGTTTCCAGTGAAACCTGTAAAACCTGTATTGTATCATTGGCACTGTTGGCAGTGTGTTTGGCAACAATATGCAGCAAATATTTTTTTTTGCCGTTTTTACAAAAACTATGCCCCTTTATGGACAGAACTATTCAATGTTTATTGGTTTACACCTTCAATTATACAGATATCATTCAGAACAATGTTGCCGATACCTATACTTCCGAAACCACCAATAGTAGTGTTCTGGGTTGATTCAAAGTATTGAATCTTGTTACTGCTCCATAGCTTTTGCTATAGAAATGTACATATTTGTCACAGAAAACATTTTAGTTACCTGTAATACTTAGCTCTATTTGTGTATATAGCTTTGCATATATGTTCAACATAAACCATTAATCATAATAATCACAGGTTCAATAATAATAATACTAATAATCACCACTCAGGTAATTAGAGGTTTTCTTTCATGCCTCCACTTATACCGAGTAGTAAAGTGGGATAACAGCAATCTTTCAGAAATAACACTTTGTAACCTCTCATCGACTAATCAAATTGAAATAAAAATCCCACTTTAAACTCCATTAGAAAATACACTTCGGCATAAGTAATATCCCAATGGGGCTAAAAGTCAAAATTATCTCTCTTTTAATTCACAGCTCCTATGAATTCCCAGAGATTTCATTTTAATCCAATTAGGGAGAGTAAGAGTGTTATTAAATTCTTCTGGAAATAGCAGAGGTCGATCCAACATCCTCTTGTATGCTGTAACGTATGCTGTACCATACATTGATCTATACCTGTCCCAAAAACATGCAAAGCACGGGGGTCAGCAACCTCTGGCACGTGATGCATTTTTCAGTCTAGCAGGAGAATGACCAGCAGGAAGTTTATTGGCCAAAGTAAGGGAAGCAGTGTTATTTCTTATACAATCATGGTAGTGTTTTATGCATGCTGGTGCACACACCTTTTTGTTCATATTTAATCTCTGCTCCTATTTGCAAGTATAGAGGCACCCCTCAAACCTGTGTTTTTAACCTTCTAATTACATAAAACTCTGGTCTACACTGGCCAACATACCGCATAATATTAAGATGATGTTGAGACAATAGCACTTACCTGGAAGACAGACTTGGCTTCCCGCTTTTGCTACAACTGGTGTAGATGCCAGGGCCATCATCGAAAAAACTCCCAAGTGCCAGTTTTTGCCTGATAGATTCTCTTTCATTCTTCTGAGCCTAAAATATCAATAATTAAAATATGAGATGAGACACTCCGATCTGACTATATTTTATGTTTCTAGGTGAGCAACACTTTAGATCATCGTTAGGTTTATACATATTTAAAATAGCTATGTCTATACATCCATCAACACCTCATATCTGATTGTTTGCCATGGTGATTACATTGTCGCTGAATGCATTTATCCTGTGTCCAGCGGCAGACATCTATCCCAAACCGCATGTAATCGTACCGTATATGTTTACATGTGGACTGCCAATGACAGATGCCGTCCCTCTCACCCTGTCATGTACTTTAATGTGTACAGCAGCCGCATCTGAACGGGGACACCTGGGACTCCTGCTGCAAGAATCCGTAGGTTCTTGCCACAAGAGTCCCAGATATCCCAGTGTGAATGGAGCCTAAAAAGAGAGGCACAGGAGGTCCATTTGATGATATGGTTTACTTTCTTTCCTCTGGATCGATATTAATGTAACAGTTTGTAACAAAATCTAAGCAAACACAAAGCTATATTGGGAAACAAAATGTAACCAAAAAAAGTGATAACAATGTAACAACCAATATTTAATAACTAATATCTCCTGGACCAAAACGTTCTTGTTTTTGGTTTGAAGCCCTTTGTCAAGTTTATTTTTTTCTGTATGGAGACATTTAGCCTTCTATTTGTTCTTGTGATCATTGTTGCCAACAAACAGAGTAAGAGGATCCAACATTTATGTAGTCCTTAAAACATGAAGTTAGAGGAAATGTTCTAATGGGGATATCTGTTCTGTCTGAGAGGGGAACTCCCTTCACTTTTGGAGATTTCTTCTAATTTCCTGTTGTCTATACAAAACAAAACGTTCTGGCTATAAATACACTTTACCATAATATTATATTTTTGTCTAAGGCATGTCTTGACCATCTCTAAAAAAAACAAACATGTTTTGCACATGAAGACTTTATGCTTGATCGATAACCAGGAATGGACAAGTCCCAGAAAACAGGTAGCCAGTGCTCTTAAAAATTTACAGCTGGCACCTAAATTTTTAGGTTTTCTCTAGTTGCTGTTAATGGAGCTGTCATCTGCATTTAACAGACTGGCTCCTGAATTCCATATTTCATTTGTCCATGCCTGTGCATCGCATTGACATCTGCAGTAACCATACAAAACAAACAAGGAAAAGCAGAGATGCGGACCATGGGTGGTAGATGGTTGCTTTCAATTTCTGATGTGCATTAGGAAAGTTGAAAATATTATCTACAGACAGCACTTCAGCTGACATTTTCTACATATGTTACACATGAGATGTAACATGTTCTGTAGGGATTGCTATATAATGAAAAGGTGCCTGCATGCCAGGATTCTATCAAACCTGGGTGCAAGAGCACAGAATACCAGAAAGTAAAATATATGATAAGCATAGAAGCATTAGGCAAAGCAGCTCTTACCATTGCTAGCCGTGTCCCTGCTGGGGAGATTCATCCTCTCTACTTGTCCTGTAACCATTCTCACTGCACTGTAAGTAATGATCAATGAATGACTGTCACTAAACAACAACAGGTGAGGAGAAATCTTCCAATGGGACCACTTGTTCTAGTGACAGCTAAGAGGAGATTTCTCTTCACTTGGTAGAGATTAAAACCCGCTTCCTGTTGTGTCTCCAGGATAGAACATATGGGAAAACCTCCCCAAAAGGAACAGACAGGAGGAAAAACTGACAGGGGCTCTAACCATTCTATACACTATCCAAAACTAAAGAAAAACTGTTTTGGCTTAGAGATACATTTTAAAGTAATAGTAAAGCCCTACTGCAGAACTAAATTGAAAAAAGAGCAGACAACAGGCTTTTTATTGCAGAAGAGAAACACTATGAGATGAATTTATCAAAAACTGGAGCAGACAAAATCTGGAGCAGTTGCTCAGGGCAACCAATCAGATTCATTCTTTAGTTTGTTCAGTTAAGATTTGAAGATGAGAGAGAGAAGCTGATTGGTTGCCGTGAACAGCTGCTCCAGATTTTGTCTGCTCCAGTTTTGATAAATTTCCCTCCATGTCTCTTCTGCAATTGAACAAATGTACCTGCCTGTTTGCACTCTTTAGAATGTATACGGAGCTGTACATGCAGCATGTACATTCTCAGCTCACCTCGGTGCCCGAAGGAACAAACTCCCATGCGCATGCACAGTAGTTGCATCATACGAGGCTGACCAATCGAGTTTGCTAAAGATCCTGAACACGGAAGAAGACCGGCTTAAGAAGTCGGCACCAGTGATAAAGCAAGGGGAGGAGAGTTTAGTACCACTTTAAGTAGAAAAAAAAGGCCACTGCCACTTAGTTCGGTTTCTAGTTTCTGCTATATTTGTTATCATTTTTAGGGATGCACGATGCCGATAACGAGTACTCACCCAAATGCTCCGTTACCTTCCCCGTTACCATAAGTTCCGGTCAGAGGGAGATTTTCTCTGACCGACAGTGCCGTGAGGGAACATGGTCGCCCGGCTTTCTGGTTGGCCGGGAAGCCGGCTGCATGCTGTTTGGCCGGCTCTATGTTGATTGGTGGGGAAGCCGGCTTCACAGCCAATCAGCATCAAGCCGGCCAAACAGCATGGAGGGAAGCTGGCCACATGCTGTTTGGCTGGATCGTTGCTAATTGGCCGAGCCAAGTCAGCTTCCCAGCCAATCAGCATGGAACCGACTTTCTTGCCAATCAGTAAGCCGGGTGACCGGTAATGACTCACGGCTTCCTAATTGGCTGGAAACCCGGCTCGATGCTGATTGGCAGGGAAGCCAGTCTCCCAGCCAATCAGCTTGCCCGGGAAGCTGGCTCCATGGTAGCAGAAGTACCGGTATCAGTACCTGCGAGTACTGAAATATAAATATCGGTACTCGATACCGAAAAAACGATATCGGTGCATTCCTAATCATTTTTAACAGTATTTTTAACATAGTCATGTGATCAAAATCCCCCCTCAGATAATCACACTGTGCGGCTCTAGCATCGCTGCCAACAGTAACGCATGTCCAGTGTTTCCAAGGCAACAGAACACACGCTCGTAAACAATTACAACTAAACAGCTCTTGAAAAATTACAGCGAATGTGCACTTTACAAAGCCTCCAAAAAGCCTCCTGCTTTTTATATGCATCATTATTATATAGGATATTATTAGAGGTGGTAAGCAGTAAAACCACAGAGTCAGGTAACTTATATATAATAACTTGAAGTAGAAATTAAGCCAGGACTTTATTATTTTTAAACCCTGCAAGGTTTTTGTTTGCTATCTATGTCCATTTGGGGAGATTACCTTTCACTTCCTGTCCGATAGCCACAACAGAACATGAGAATAAATCCCCCCAAAGAGAGGGAAATCCCTGAAGTCAGCGGGGTCACCAGAACTAGCATCCCCATTGGAAGATTTCCTATCTATTCCTGTTCTGGTGACCATTTCAAATTTGGGATTTTCTTTCACTTTCAGTGATAATGGTCACCAGGACAAATATAGTAGGTTAACTTCCCTAACGGGGACACAGACAGCAATAAAAACCTGACCGGTGTTGCAATCCCTCTCCACTCGTTCTAAAAAATCTCCACAGAAAAAGTGTCTGCGCTTTAAGCTGGGTATATACACTGTTAAATGTATCTTTGTTCAGCTTTTGGGCTGAACAAAACCAAATCTAACATATTCCTCTATTGATGCTAAACAGCATGGATGGTGAAATATTGCTCTGCAGCTATTGTATTTTGACAGTTGGCCCCACCGACTGTCAAAATACCTGAACAGTGACTGACAATTGTTGGCCAAGCAGCACCTGCATGCAATCAGATGCAGACAGGAGCTGGCAGAGATGGCCACCAACTGAGCGAATATTGACCAGTTCATCAAGAATTGGCTGAAATCTGCTCCATGTATACCCAGCTTTAGGGAAAAATAAAGAACCATATTGCGAATGGGTTTATAATAAAATCATTTTTTATTTTTACCTGGCGTGACACTTTACATAGTAATTTGGTAAGCTTCCAACAATGTCAAGAATCAGTATTCCCAACCAAGCACAAAAATATTACAATATTTAGGCATTATTTAGGGAAAAGGTATTAAATAGTAAGCCAAGGAATATACCATATGACTGATCATCGTCGCCAAAACAATAGGTCGAAAATGAAATCAAGCTTTTCCTGTATTCCAAGAATTATCCTCGTCTGACTCCAGGTTTTTTTTACACATCTTGACATACACAAGTACATGGCATAAGTCACTTCATGCAATTAAAGGGATGGGGGGATCTAATCTGGTGTAAGAAGATTATCCACATCCTATGGACCATAATCTGTAACAACTTGTCTGCCATATTTTCTGAAAGGAACAAATCTCCAGAATAAAACACCTTGAATGAAGCCAGCAAGTGAAACATTTTTTTATAAAAGAAATTAAGCCCTGATTAAATAAAAAAAAATCCACATGTATCAGTGAACACACAGGCGTCCTGCAAAGAATAAGCTTCTTAGCCATTTTCAAGTGACTACACGTGGTCTATTTCCCTGCAATAATGTAATCCGTGTGCGGTGAAAGCTCTTGTGCTCGGGCTTTCTAATCACTAAGGCTTGCACTTCTATTTAACTCACTACAATCCACTTTAAAAGATCGGCCACTTCCCCAGTCTGGTTCAAAATGTGCTGTGGTTAAAGAAGATGGCAGACTGCAGATACAAAGATCTAGAATTGTAATTATAACATTGAAACATGGAATTATGTATACTAAAATAGTTTCTCTGAAGCTATAATGTAATGTATACTATAAATATAGAAGCTTGTTAATAACGCTGAACAAAAGAGCTGCTTTTCATGTGGCCACTGTTGGCTCTATTTTTGATGCAGCTTATAAACATTTGAAGTGGAAAAATATAATGCAGAAAAAAAAAGTTGGTGAAAAGCAGACATCAAAAAATGGCAAAGTAGCAAGGAAAGTGCAACAAAATCAAAGCAAAAACAACAGTTCTACCACCATTAAGAAAGT